GAACCTCTAGCACCTCAAAAATTGATTGTGATATCAAATTGAAATACTTACTAATTTAATGTATGCAAAGATTCTTAAAGGTCCCGAAATATGTTCATGAAATGAAAGTGAATGCACAAAATCTAAAATGTCTGATGTGTAAAAAATGTAAAAACGTGTAGAGAATGATGAGAATAATGATTCCATTTAATTTAATGAAAATCAAAGCAAATTTATCCCGACATCACCCTGAGTTAAGTGGTGGCTTGGTGCCCACTGGCCACGCATGAGCTCAATCACCATGGAACACCAGATCTGAGTAGGTGCAGAACAATTATTTCTGCAAAGGAATAATAATGATCTCTACAAAAATGTAAATACTTACACTGAGCTCTGTGTTCGAGATCTCGATGTTCCTTTTCAGTTCTTCAGTAAGTTTAGTCTACATTTTACTTTCCAAGAAGAAGATTTAAAGTTTTTATAGAACAGATACGTTCAACTTCATAAGAGTGAGACTAAATTGCCTTTCAGTTTTTGACATAATATTCATCTGTATTCTACAGCACATATAATGTACATATATATTATTTTTGATGCTCAACTTGAATCCAAAACCTTAGATAAAAGTATGAACTATTCTTTTCAATTACTGCAAAAGTCTCCAGAAGAGTTTACATATTGGTTTTTGAGGTTTTGAGTCAGACAGTTGGAGAATGAAATGTTCACATTTCAGAGGTACTTCAATGAAAAATGCTTTAATGGATAGACAGCTAATTCCCCTAAACGAGAGTCAATGTGAATCTTCTGTTCACAAGAAACAGGCTCCATTGGCGTTTTTATAGATCTGAAATCTATTTAATAGAGTGAGGACCTCCTGGACACTGTTTAATTACTTTCTCAACACTTTTCCTGAGGAGAAAACAGCAAATTGATTTCTGTGGAGTGTCCAGAGGGGCTCGCTGGACAAAAGTACAACGTCTGTGCTCCAGAGGCCCAGTTAAAAGTACTGCAGCACAAAATCAGAAAACATCTAAAACGAGGAGGCCTCTTTGAAAATTCAGACCTCCGCCAAGGCCATTGTCTAACAACATAAAAAAAAAGAAGAAAAAATCAAATTCATGAAAAATTCCATCAACAACAAACATCCCATGACTGTTAGCTGCTTGTGTGTTGAGGCAGCTGCATCAGCTGTGCAGTGCGGCTCCAAGAGATAGCTGTGAGGTGTTGGGGCAGAGCTTGTGACCAGACCAGATGTGAAACATTTCAAATCAGCACTTGGATTCAAAATGTGTCAGAGAGTGTGGGGAAGCAGGGAGTGGAGCAACGAGAAGAGCAGAGTGATGAAGATGAGAGGTGCAGAGTGATAAGGATGAGAGGAGCAGAGTGATGAAGAGGAGAGGAGCAGAGTGATAAGGATGAGAGGAGCAGAGTGATGAAGAGGAGAGGAGCAGAGTGATAAGGATGAGAGGAGCAGAGTGATGAAGATGAGAAGAGTAGGGTGATGAAGATGAGGAGAGCAGAGTGATGAAGATGAGAAGAGCAGAGTGATGAAGA